AAACCTTGTAAGGCCATTTTCTCACGAACCGAAGTCCGCCAAGGCAAAACAACAGAATGAACAGGTCGGGTTCTCCTCTACCCGATTGTGGTTTAGGATTGCGAATGTAGGTTTCGGTTTCCGAGAAAATGGTTGTAAGGGTTTGTTTACAAAATGGAGTTGAGGCCATTTCAATCGTTGGTCTTGATATGTTTGCAGTTCTTTTATTCTTGAAATCCTCTAATAGCCAAAGCCATTCATTTGCCGGTCGATTAGAATATTCTTTGTTTATTTTTTTTCCGGTTCAACACTTAAATGCACTTGCATCTTTTGTCACGTTATTTTCAAAATATGTAATGGACAAAAATGCTACAAAAAGTGTATTGTTTAGAACGGGGATTTGACCGTTGCAAGACGTTCACAACTGGTATGCATTGTTAGAAGGGATGTTACGTAATTTGAATAGATTATATCGGAATGCTACGAATGCAGCAATGTTATGGTAAGTCAATGGGTGGAAGAATTTTATGCAGAACATTTTCTTTCTTTGCTAATTTGATGGCAAACTCATTCTGCACTGGCTCTTTGAACTTTATATGGGAATTGCTATAAGAAAAGATGTCCCTTCCTTTCGTGAAATTTTCCCAGCTACAACTTTGTTGAAAACCACTTTTCAATTGAATTTCAAGAAAATTAGTTATTAATTAATTTCCAAGTTGATAACTTTCTGGTAGGATTGATCGGCTGCTTTCAGGGCAACACTGCATCTTGCCCTTATGACATAATAGCCTGGATTGTTTGTCCCATTATGTCCTATTATAGCTAATTATCCTAACGCTCAATTTTTCAATTTTCACATAAACTACAAAGGACCAAGTGCAGAACGAGTTCGCATCCTAATGAGATCAAATTTTGTGAGAATGATCAGGAGCTGATTTGAAATTATTTGAACTTGGTGGAGCAAAAGCAATATTTTGAACGATGAAAATTCCGTGCGCATGGATCGGTAATTGGTTCGTAATCTTCCGCTTGAAATACTTCTATAAAATCGCAATTTCTCAACGCTCAAAAACTGAATACCAACGGATTCAAATCAATCAGCTGTACTAGCAATACGAGAATGTGACATGACTACTCAATCAACAGTTCTCCGTTGTTTTCTTTATCACCAACCAGCCACTTTTAGCATGCACGCAGGACGTAGGTACGCTGCCGATCTCCCTGGAGCTCGCTGAGTTTGACTCATGAGACACAGCACATGTGACACGAATGAGGCACGTAGGAACAAAAAAGAGACGCGAAATAATTCGTCTCGAAATGTACCAGGCACCTAAGATCTGATAGAAAGCGTGTCGCTATCACGCGGGATGGATGCACGTGTACATTAACTCTGCCCGCGAGTGATTGGCCAGCCCTGGTGTCTCAGTTTCGAGAAGTGTGTTACGGACATCACCGCCCCGTTACCGGTTGAGTGGATCCCCGGTGAAGTGATTGTCCGGTTGTTCGGCGAGCCTAGTGCTGGTGGCTGACGAGCATTGCGTCATTGCCGCACCACACGCTACGGGTGAGTGGTAACATACGTTGTGAAGGTGAGGGTTTGGCCAGGTCCGTGTGGGTTCGCCCCCGCTGGTCGGCCCCTAACAACGAAGTCGATCCACTGTCGAGACAATTGAGGAACGAGAAATCTGCTAGCCCCGTGCTGGTGGTGGACAAACGTCGTGCCCTACCGTACCACACGCGTCGGGCGAGTGTTACCCGAAGCCCTGGAGGTGAGGGTCTAGCAAGGTCTGGTGGGTCCGCCCCCGCTTGCTAGTGCCCAATATCCGATGAGCTACCGCCCCGGAAGTGAGCACGAGGAACGTCGATAGGAGTGGTAGAAGCATTGGACCAGTTTCCCGTCCGAAAGTCCGGAAGCCCAACAGAATCTAAGGTAATCACGAACCACACGCACTCTCTGTCTCTCTCTCTCTCTCAGCATGCATGAATCAGACTCCACGGCCGCAACGAACCCCCTTTTACAAAATGTAACCTTGAAGAAATAAAAAGATGTAAATGAGATAATTTGTTGTGTTTGTGCCACTATCCCTCAAGAAGTCCCTGCAGATATACCGACTGTGTTGTTGTTGTCCCCTTCGATTCTTGAGATAGAGGTAAGAGTACCCGTTTCGAGCTAGCCGCTACTTACAAATTACATCCATTTCCCCTATATGAACTCTACCTATGGGCGAAGTTTCAAAGAAATCGAAGACTCTTCAGCCCAATGTATCCGATAATTTAAAAAAAACCCCCTGTCAAATTTGACTATGTGGAACCATAAACCGGAACACACGGAACCGGTTAGGTAAGATATATGATAGAAATTGAAAAAAAAACCCCCCGTGGCAACACATTCTTGAATATATAACGAAGATGAAGGGGCCTGGGGGAAGTACCTTTCATCAGATGTAAGAACCACTCACCGGAATGGTTTTAAAAAAATCAATTTAATCGGCGATTCCATCTCAGAGATAATTTTTAAATACATAAATTTTCTACTTCTACGCACTTTTCAGAACTTGAAGTCCTTGAAGTTTTACGAAGTTTCCAGAAGCAAAAGAAAAATCTGACGACTTATTATTATGCCATTGATTAAACATCGATATTATATACTTCATCAAAAATGTTTCTTCTAGTCCAGAACATTTGATCGAAAATTGGTCTTCAACAAAGTTGTAGCTGAGAAAATTCTGAACGAGCTCAGCTATCATTTTTTAAAGTAGAGTGAACTGGTGAATTTTCAGATAGATATGAACCGAAATTATGGTTTCTCCATAGTAATTCCCATATAAACTTAAAATGGTTTGCGCCAATTCAGTTTCTCACTAAATGAGTTCAAAGACTAATCAGGGCTCAATTGGGTTCTTTAATTTTGAAAAATATATCGGTTTTTATATATCATCTGAAAGAGCTTCGTTTTCTGAGCACAATGATATTTTTTTCGAACCCACACACTTTCATCTCGATTTTTAAATCAAGATTCAAAGCAAAATAATGACTTCACTGTTTGACACTAAACTGATAAACTGACAGCTCTCTCCCATACAAAGTGACACCGAGGGGCGCTAATAAGGTGTTTTTTGCAAATGTAATCGTACTTATTTAAAATAGTTCCAGTGTACCAAAGTTGATTAAATTTAGGGTTTGGGTTCCATTTTTAATGCAGATTACGAATATACATTAACCTCAATGCCCTTAAAGAACCCAATTTAGAACTGTTTGAGCACTGTGGAGTGAAAATTTCAAATTTTGCATCAGTCTAATGATCATACGAAAATGATGGGAAGTTGATCTGCAACAACAGGGTATTAGAGGTGTGTTAAGAAAGTTCATGATGTTTTGGATAACTAGTAAAGGCTGACGAAAAGTAAATTGGTACGCCCCTCGCGTGCCGCTAGCACGCCTCTAGTATTGGGAATCGTAAATCTTTGACAGTGGTTTGTTTACACTTCTATAGAGAACAACTGGTGCAAGTTTGATCAAAGTAGTCAATCGCGTTCAGAAATAACGTCAAATGGAACTCGAAAGAAGAAAAAATAATGTGCACAAACACCTGGAAAATCCGGAGTGGTCCGGTTCCAAGCTGACTATAGTGCTGAAGATGCCGAAAACAACAGTTGGTCGCAGCAAGGTGTAAGGTGCGTTAAAACCAACCCTGGTCTTTCGATCCGAGATGTGGCCAGAAGGTACAACGCCAACTTTCAACCAGTGCTGAACATTCTTGCCAGGGAAAGATACAAGTCGTACAAAGCCAGTAAACATCCGAACCGTCACATGAAGCAGACTTCAGTGGCCAAAAAGCGTGCAAGGCTCTTATACGACAGTGTTTTGACGAAACACAAGGGCTACACTTTGATCGATGACGAAAAATACGTCAAACTAGATTTTAAGCAGCTTCCCGGTCAAAAGTTTTACATCGCGACTGGACGTGGGGATGTGCGGGGAACATTCAAGTTCGTGCTTGCCGACAAGTTCGCGAAGAAGGCCATTATTTGGCAAGCGATTTGCAATTGTGACCTGAAAACGGAACCATTCGTCACATCCTCGACGATGACATCCCAAGTTTACATCGAAGAATGTTCATCCGCAAGCATAGAGGCAAAGTCATCTTTTGGCCCGATTTGGCCAGCTGCCACTACTCCAAGGTGGTTCTGGAGTGGTATGCTGCCAACAGGATCTATTTTGTCCCCAAGCTAATGAATCCTCCGAATTGCCCGGCATTTCGACCAATCGAAAAAATACTGCGTAATTTCAAAGCAGCGAGTTCGACGAAGTGGCGGGGTAGTCAAGGACATTCAGCAAAATGGAAGAAATGTGCTGATTCCGTGTCCGTTTTCACTGTGATTATGGGCTCCATCAAGAGGAAGGTTCCAGATTTCATACGAACTGAATAAATTTAACCATTTAATGCTGTAACTTTGAATTTTAATTAAAGTACTGTACAGCAACCACAATGGACTTGTTAGACTTTTTGAATCACGAACTACAGGTCTTTTTGTGCGTATCAATTTACTTTTAGTCATTTTTTGGCAAGTAATCGTTTTAAAATTATCAAAAATCCAAAAAAAATCAGTATTTCCTTTAGATTTCTGGGAAAATCTACGTGTGAAAATAAAAAAAAATTGACCCTCAGCAAAACTGAATAGTCAATTTTGTGGTTTTTTGAGTCCAACTTTATGCCATGATGACTTATAATGTGTTTGTGCGACAATTTTCTTTGAAATAATAGTAAAAATGTGATTTTTGTTAGATTTTTTACATCTTTTGGTAATATTTTTAGAAAATTCAAAACGCAATTATTATTTTCGGAGTGGTAAACTTCCCCTTAAGGAAGCCTACAGATCACCTAAACAAATTATTTTAGTTTGATCTGCAGCAGCAGGGCGTTTGAAGTGTGTTTTGAAACGTGATGTTTGATCGGATGACTTTTAAGAAGCAGCAAGACGTTTTAATCGACTATTGATTTAGAAATTTGATGATTTTTTTTGAAGACTTTGAAGTAGCATCAAGGGCCGGAGAGAATGGCTATTAAACTTATACCAACATTTTAAGTCGTTGATCTGCAACTAAAGGGCGTTTCTTACTTTTTAACATGGGCAGTTCTTTCTAGTCTTACTGTTCTCGTTTTTTTTTGGCTCCGCTTATGAAACTTGCCATGAGATTTGGAAAGCTCTGATCCCGTTTGTCAAATTCGACGAGAAGTTTGAAATTAAACTGAAAAACTGTCGCCATCAGACCTAAGCACAGGCGGGTAGCCCAACCAGTTGACTTGACGTCAATTCGAAACTGATTCACTCATAGTTGCTTTATCACAGATGTCATTGATTGTCCACTTAAAATATATCCTTGTCTTATCTTTGTTTATTGCGCATTGAACAATTCATTTATTCAAAAGCAAAAAAACATTTCATTTGCTAATCAAAATATACCATAAGTTTCACTCCAAGAAGTTCGTTTCACATGATTACACATTTTTGTTTCACTGGATTTCATGTAGTACCATTCCTCGTCCGATCATCCACGGGTCCTGAAAGGAAAGGCCAGAATGCTTCAATTACTAATAATGTCTCGGATAAATCGTTCTCTCAAGCTTTCACACCTTAAAACTATCTTAAAACGTAACAGACTGCCTGCATCCCCCTCGTCGATCCAGCTTCTGCCCCTGGGGACAACTTGTGGCATTCGGTGAGCGTAGAAGGTGCGCCACATTTCCGTTGGATTGTACCCTTCTCCTAAATATTACACGAACTGACTGTACAGACTCAAAGCTAAACACTGCCACCAACAGCAGGATCCAGATTTTTGTGAATTTCATTATTCAAGCTCGATAGCTGATTCCAACAGGTGTGGATATTTTCGCTTGTAAGTTGCGCGGCATTCGAGATTCAACTACGACCAATAGCGGTGCAGTCGATTGCAACCGATATTAAAACACAAGACCGCATGCGACATTCCGACTTATCTTATCTGCCTTTTTGACAAACGAGGTAAAAGCAAACATTAGAAGCTATGCTATGCCCGGGATCATGACGCCATAATTGAGTGGTGAAACGAGACATTCGAGAAATGAGTAAACCTTTTCAGAAACGATGACGTCGAGCTGAGTAACTTCCAAAAATAGGTGTGATGAACTTACACGTCCGGCTAGAAGTAGACAGCCGAGCGGCACAATCCGTAGGTGTCGTGCATTTGGCCCGATCCGCAGCTAGCTCGTATTCCGCTGGGAGACCTTAATATGTGAGCGGCCTTTTGATTGGTCCCATCCGGCAGTGGCGACTTTCGGAAAATGACTCGAACCGCATTGGAACCGTTGCACATTCCCACCAGCAAGATGGCAAACGTAATCACAAAAATCAAATTGAACCTCATCACAATACACCATCACTTATGGACTCACCCGTGTAACTGATTTGATAATGAACTCACCCCCGAAATGAAATCAATTACAAGCTCTATCTTATCGCGCTATTATTACGACACACGATTTGATTTCCAATCGAAACAAATCCGATAACCGAGCTTACCGTCCTCAGAGCCTTGAGCTAGTAGACCAGCTTGCGACAGCGCCGGAATCGGTCCAACCCGTAGCCAGCTGGGCAGCGCAGCGGTGACACGAAGATGTTCGACGTATTGACCGTGGTGTTCAAATCCTGCTTGGCCGGATTGTAGTAGATGGTGCGTCCTTCGGCCACTTCCAGCACGGCTACCAGCATCAACGACAGCAACATCAACAGAAGCAATGTGCCGCTGCTGAAGATCACTAAGTTCTTCCACTGTTGGGAACGCATCTTCGCACCTTCGAACCTGCAAACTAATGTGAACAGCAATATCAGATTGGGCGTACCGCGGTTGACTGTCGATTTTGTCGAGAGCAGAAGAAACGGAAGCGCGCTGCTTGAATGGAGCAAGAGTAGTGAGTAGCAGCTGTGGTTGTGCGAGCACGAACGAGACGACCGAAAGAGTGTAAACAAATTTCTGCGACGCGAGTTTGGCGTCTCGATCGAGTGGAACTGATAACGAATCTTCTCAGCCGAGTTGTTACAACGGGGATTCCTTCGAAATGGAATTCAAATTTGGGTAGGTTTTTGGAAACCCGTTCCACAGGTATCGACAACATGAGTACAATCTAGATGGCTAAAATCTATAATCTAGCCAACACGACATCATCATAAGCTACCTAATCAGCTGATCGAAACTTTCTCAAAATACCAAGGCTGCAAAATGCGTGTCGATTCATGGTTGACATGGCTGGTTATGACCAATGCAATGTTCAATCGTTATGATTCATCCATCATTATTAAGGTATGGCTGTCTACTTTCTTTTGGAACAGGTAGACACCCAATTGGACCTATGGGGTTGGCCAGTCGAGACGGCTCTGCGGAAATTCGGATTCACCGGGACAATGGTCAATTCTTGAAAGTAGACCTTTTGGTTTGTTTTTTCCGTCGATCTTGTTTTCCGTGCTGAGCACAAATGCTACCGACGTGCCAGGAAGGCAGCTCCCACACCTGGACCCTACCTATCGACCCATCAACTCATGAACCGGGGACCAACGGCTTTACTTCCCTTCAGAAGGAAGGCGTGATCAGAGATGTTATGCCTCAGAACATCCCGGCGGCGCCGACTGGGATTGAACCCAGGCCTATTGGGGTGAGAGGTAACCACGCTTACCACTACACCACCGGCGCCGTTTTGAAAGTAGACCTAGAGATCCACGATTTTCTCTAAATTGCATACAGTCATGAGCATTGAGAAAATATGTCATCACCATTTCAATTCTGCTACTAAATGGTCAGATATGAGTCCTCTGGGTTTCCGGAACAACGCCCAACAAAGTCACTTTCAATCTAAAATCGTCAAGCGACGACGCAGCCGTCAACCATCACTTTAAATTCAGAGTCATTCTGTCTTCTCTCCTAGCAGATGGCCTTTAACATCAACAGAACCACTTTTGATTCGTTTTTTTGGCTGGACTCGTGGTCATTTCGTCTTTTATTGTCAACACAATTTAGGTAGGGTAAACAGCCCGATTGTTGCGGTACGTAAGCAGCGTTAGAAGCCTATTGGTGTGTATGGAGGTCTCCATACACAACAATAGGCTTCTAACGCTGCTTACGTACCGCATAAATAGGGCTGTTTCCCCTACGTGCGCATTGAAACGAAGCTGTTCGATCTAAATAAGCGCAGGTTTTCTGACTTTTGTTTATTGTTCACTCGGTTCATTTAAACGCATGTACCATTGCTCACGCATGCTAGCACTATCATCAGACAGGAGATGTTTTCCCCTAACTGATAGTGGTGTTAGTATTCGTATGCGAGCTACCAGTTACGCCAAATTGACGATCAAATGCATTGTTTACAAAAGCTGATACATCCTTTCGAAAAAGCTATCGAGATATACTGGCAAATACCCATGAATATAGATATTTTTGGATTCGAGAATGAAAATCGATATTCGACGACATTTCGAAATCCAAGGTGGCGGCTTTCGGTTGAAAAAAAATGAGAAATACTGTCATATACCCATCAATATGGGTATTTTTGGAATCGGGAAGACGCCTAGAGAATATAATTAGGTATGCAACGCCATTTTTAAATTTAAGATGGTGGCTTCTGGTTCAAGAAAAAGTGGAAAATACTCTCACATACCCATCAATATGGGTATTTTTGGAATCGAGAAGACGCCTAAAAATTGGAAATAGATATGCGACACCATTTTGAAATCTAAGATGGTGGCTTGCGGTTCAAGAAAATGTGGGTAATATTGTCAAATACCTTAACACCAACTACCTGACTACCTGACTAGCCTATTGGTCCCAAGCAAACGATTAATGTACCCCATTCTAGTCGAAATTCTAGTACTACACAATGTTTGTTTAGATTCTCTATGGAAGTTTGACAGATAAAATGAGGGGTTAGTGGATTTTCCTATGTTTCGAGGGGCGAATCGATTAGCTTGGGACCGAAGAGAGTACCAGAGCTAGGCCAAAAAGTTGAGCACGTTTCTTCGGGACCTTCTAGTCTTAGGGTTGCCTCTATGCTACTTCTGGATTGAACCACATGGCAACACTGAATGTACTAGAATGTTTTGGTTCCATGTCTTTCACTCTACTCAAAGCTGAAATGCCCAAAAAACTACAAAATGGTACACTCTTTGCACACTGTCAAAGATCATTGAACAGAAAATCAACTTTGTTCAAATCAAAACAAAAATACTAGTCCATATGGTGACTGATGGCACAAGCTTATAAGAAAATTCTATTTCAGCGAACCGCATTATTTCAATTGATTTCTTCGCCAGTTAGTCGTCTGTAACTTCGTTTGTGGTATTGCCGTAGATATCGTATATAGTTTTTACATAGTACCTGTTAAATATTTTACGAATATATTAAAAAACAATTTTCGTGTTATTGGCCTGTTTGAAAAGGCACTCAAATCATCACTTATGAACTGTATTTCCTATATAGTCATCACAAATTCAATGTTGTATTCTTATTGCTTATAATGTCTTCTGATTATATACTCATTCAAAGTTTCATATAGCTTAAACTAAATTGGTTGAGTTTCACGCATGGAAAAACATTCATCGAGCATTATCAAAGTAATCCCAAATCAAAATACTGAAGTTCGGTCACAAAACGTAAAAAATTGTGCTAATGCTTTAATTTCCATTAAATAAATAACTAACAAATAATCTCTTGGATCCTCAGTACTTGTTTTAAAAATATAAAATTTGAAAAACATTAATTGCCATAACAAATATTTAGAATATACTTTAAAAAACACCCCCCGTTTTACGGTACCCATATATGGGTATTTTTTTGGAATCGGAATGACATCTAGAGGATGGAAATCGATCACTGACGCCTTTTTGAAATCCAAGATTACGGCTTCCGGTTTTCGAAAAGTGGAAAATACTGTCAAATAACCATCAATATGGGTATTTTTTGGAATCGGGACGACGTCTCAAGAATGAAAATCGATATTCGACACCATTTTGAAATTCAAGATGGCGTCTTTGGGTTTAATATGGGTATTGTTGGAATCGGCATGACGTCTAGTCATTTGAAATAGATATGCGACGCCATTTTGAAATCTGGGATGATGACTTCCGGTTTTAGAAAAGTGGAAAATACTGTCAAACACTCATCAATATTTTGATTTACGGTTTAGCGACTTTGCAGTCAATTTTATTGTTTATAAGAAAATTTTAACATACTGAGACTTACTTACTTACTTAAGTGTCCTGAGCGCCATCCCTGGCGCAAAGGGCCAACGTGAAAGATCTCCATCCTGGGCGATTGTTTGCTTTCGCCTTGACCTGGGCCCAGGTCAAATTCCGATCGACTTGCTTAATCTCCTTGTTTAGGCTTCGCCGCCATGAGCCCCTGGGTCTGCCTCTGCTGCGATGTCCGGCTGGATTCCAATCCAGCGCTTGTTTGCAGATTTCATTTCCGCTCTTCCGTAGAGTGTGGCCAACCCACCTCCACTTACGTTCCCGAATTTCTGTCGATATCGGCTTCTGGTGACACCGTCGATGGAGCTCGGCATTCGAAATCCAGTTGTGAGGCCACCAAGCACGAATTATATACCGCAGGCATCGGTTGATGAACACCTGCAGCTTCTGTGTGATCTCCGCTGATACGCACCATGTTTCGCTAGCGTACAGCAGTACAGATTTCACGTTAGAGTTGAAAATTCGGATCTTCGTGCGGAGACTAATCTGATTTGACTTCCAGATGTTTCGTAAACTCGCAAAAGCAGCCCTTGCCTTCTTGATCCGTGCACCTATGTCACTCTTGGTTCCGCCGTCCGACGCTATCTGGCTGCCAAGATATTGGAAACTTTCAACCTTCTCCACTTCCTGACCAGCTACCGTAAAATTGGATGGATTTCCCGTGTTGATATCCAACGATTTAGTCTTGCTGACGTTGATGTTGAGACCTGCCGCTGAGGAGCGTTCGGCGAGATCGTCGAGCTTACTCTGCATGTCAGAACGCCGTTGTGATACTAAAGCAACGTCATCCGCCAAATCTAGGTCGTTTAGATGCTCCATTGTAATAGGCTGCCAGAGCAACCCACGGTTCGGCACACGGTCGATCGCACCAACCATTATCTCGTCGATT